ATAAAATTGGTATAAAATTAAATCAGATTTAAAAAATCTACGCAAAAGATATTAGCTTTATAAAAAATATAAATGCTCATAAAATAGTACGCAATTAATTTGTTAACGGTTATCAACTTAAAACATTTTCATATTTTACCTAGATCTGTAATTGTTTTTATTTTTTAATGCGTACATAGGTTTAATATTGTAAGCTGCTGACGCATCGGCATATACATACATAACTTTGGAATAATTTTGATTTTTACGTTCTGTGTGCGGAGATATTTTGAAGAGCTCCCAAATTCACATTTTGTTGCCTTATAACGCCCTAAAACAGCAACAATTCCAAATTCCAAGAGAAAGAGCCGCAAAAAAACAATTTCTTTTTTTTTTGTTTCGAAAAAAAAAAAACATTTGTTCAACGCTGGGAGCAGACCAGAGCAAAAACATTTTCCAATATTCTAAATTTAGACGAAATGAAACACATTTCAAATTTTCATGAAAAATGTCGGGCAGTGGCAGTAGCTGCAGGGGCGGCAAGTAGCAACGAAATTTGTGTATCTGAAAAATACCATCTATATCTATACTTATACATATGAGTGTATGTATGTATATATGCACACATATACAGAATAAAGCAGTCACGATATGTATATACGTATGTATGTATGAATATAGACGGGCAGTTTGTAGCGGGTGTTGCCGTAATTTGATTTTTTGAATGCACACCGCAAGATTTATATACTATACGAGTATATATGTACATATACATAACATATACGCGTAAATATATACGTATATTGTATCTATAAGATCGAGCGGCACCGCATGTAGAGAGCTACGTACGCTGCGCCTTGTGCGTCCAATGAAACGATGTTGACACGTAGCAACGATACGAAATTTTTTTCAGTGTTGCTGTAGTATTTGTTGCTGTGCTCTGCCTGTTTTCTTCGGCCAAGTGTGGGCGTTGTGAGCTACATAAAATTCTTCTAAAAGAAATTCTTCAAAATAATCAAATTAAAGGTGCGACTGCCTTTAAACTTATACGTGTATAGTATAGAAGACTTGGTATATCCCAGATGCGCATATGCCCTGCATTTTGTTTGATATAAGCCACAATTTGCTTGCATAATTAACAAGCGTCATGCGGAAGATATGCGAAGAAACCGAGACACACTCACAGATGCTTTGGCGAGAGCTTTACGTGCAGTTATGCTTGGACTGCACGGCTCTGTAATCTGAGCGTTTTGACGTCGGCTTTCCACAGGCTAGGCACACTTCAACTGTGCAAAGCACCCATCTACGTCTATATATATATATATATATATATATATATAAATATATATATATATACATATATGTATGTAAATTTATATACATACGTATGTATAATGTGGAAAACAAGAACAACAATATTTGCGAGCTCGCTTACTTATTGTGTCACATGGCAAAAGTATTTTAGAGATAGAATTCAATGCTGTGTTCAGATGCTTTATATTATTTGGGCATGAGTCAGCCTAAAGAACAACAAAATTTATGTCAGCAGTGCCAAAAGCGTCGAGCGAATAAAGACAATAATAAGCCAAAAGACAACACAAAAAGAGGGGCACGCAAAAATGTTTGTGTGTGTGTGTGAACAAACAAGTATGAATGCTATAGTCGGACGACTGTGCGACACCCTCCACCCAGCTGACGTATAATTAATTAATGTTAGTCGGCCTTGGTAGCCAAATCTAACATATAACTGATCATCACGCTAAACATCTTTTCATCAAATGTTGTGAGAAGAGTTTCAGGGCACATGACTATATAAACATACTGATCATAAATATCACCTGTAACATATATTTTCAGTAGCCCCGTATACACATAATACATTTTGTGTATAGGGTATAAATTAGAATGAAAAAAAAAACATATTTAAATGTAATCACAAGCTGTGCATTTCAAGTGACCGCAGACACAATAGCCACTACAACAACGGCACCCAACAGGTAGCCATAGTTTGGCGACACCCGCCGCATCCGCAACCCGGAGGGTAGACCCTAATGAGGTCCGCCTTGATGTGAGTGACTGCGAGTGTCTGTGTATGGGACAAAATAATTTTAAGCTACTTAAATTTTGTATTTCAGGCGACTTTGAAAAGCGAAATGAATTGTCTTTGTCTTTGTTGCAGTCCGCCTTTTGCCTTTTTCTTTTTATTTTTTGGGGTTTTGTCATCAAAGTAAACTTTTCTTGTTTTTCTGCTGTACACCCACACTTTTACAGTCACAAACATTCATATAAGCGAGCAGCAACAAAAAAAAAAAAAAAAATAGGCCCGCCAATAACTCGGGGGCAGTTTTTCAAATTACTTGCTGGGCACATGTGCGGTTCAAAGTTGTTTTTGCCCTCATCTCGAACCGCCGCCATAAAAAAAAAGCAAAAACCACAACAAAAGCAATTGAAAAGAGAAAGTTGCAAAAACTTCTTTTTAGAAACAGCAAACGTCGAAAATATATATATATACCTATATATATTCCCCGGACAAAACTAACTTGCCTTGACGGGTAAAAACTGAGGAAACAAAATGAAGCAAACGCAAGAGTTTACAAGTTTGCAGTTGGCTGGCAGGCCAAGCTTCACAGAAGAGTTCGGGGAGGCTGCGATCAACATTAGTTTACTACATTTTCCATGTCTGGGTCGCGCTTCCGCAACGCCGCGCCCCAAAATCTGATAAAGCACACAGATAAAAAAACGACGTCGGCACTTATGCAGCGATGCCTTCCAAGTACAGGGAATTCTTTCTTAGGCAATAACACTTATCGAAAATGTGAAGATTGAATGTTCTTCAAGGCAACGGGTATGTGATCATGCGTGTTAGAAGTGTATTATAGTTACGATTGCTTTTGTATGCACATTTTTACAATTCCCGTGCCTAGTTTACGTGACAAGTTTTTTTTTATCTGGTAAGAATATATTAAATAGACTACACATGGACTCAATGTTTCTCTATTGGTCAATTAATTCCGATCATTTTCGAACATGCCATTTCAATCGGTACCAAAACTTTTAAACGATGTACAATTACTTTAATAGGAAATGCATATTAAACAAAATTTTGAATTTGAAAAACATCAATTTATTACAAGAAATTTTACCAAACTAGATATTGGATCCCAATATTGTAGGAGGAATATTTAAGTAGCATATGACGTGCTGATCAGTTCGGTAGCTATAATATGAACTTACTAATTCGCATCACTTGAAATTGAAACTATGTAATATACAAGTACAAGATACTTGAACCCCAGATCAAAAGTCGTAAATGCATTTCGTTCCAGGTTCAAAATGTATGTTTTAAAGTAATTAAATCAGTGAAAAGGTCCATTACAATGTCTGGTACTAAAGAAATTGTCTTTAGTTCAGCTCTTATAAAGTTCTAAGATATTACAATTTCTTTTGTGGATGGCGTTTACTGTTTTTGCTTAAATTTTGTTACTTATTGTTGTTGTCTCAGTTGCTGTTGTGGGTTACTGGTCGAACGAGTTTTACAAATTGTCAACGCTTTGCTTTAAGCAAATAAATTTCATAGACAGAAACTAGTTTGTACCTACGCCGTGGCGTCTAAAGTATCTGTATCTGTGCAACATAATTTTGTCATTACGAAAAGTGCTACACGAGCACTAACACTCTTACTATATATGCACATGGGCAACAGATGTTGGACAAATACCAACACTAACACCAACTAGAAAGCAAAATAATTGTTTGTGAAAAATGAAAACGAACTGTGAAACGTCACCGCCGGACCAGGTAATTGCCCCGAACCCTCGCATCCTGGCCCATAATACACTCATACTCACAAAAAACGAATACACACACACACACACACACACTATTCGAAACTGTTTGCACACGCCTCATACGCCCCGCTTCGTGATTTTGCTGACGGGCGCCAGAGTTGACGACTCTACGGCTGGACTTTTTGTGTTGTTGTTACTTTTTGACCGAAATTGTTTGTTTTGGGCATGGCAACTTTCCAATACGCACGCATTTTCTGACCATTTGCGTTCAAGAAGAGACGCAACTTTCAGATACAATTTTTCCATTTGCACATAATAAAAATTCTATATGGTGCGTAAAACATATTAATGGGCGGTCTTGTTGTGGTTTCTCTTGTTGTTGTTATGCCCCATGCCAGCACAGAAATTACTACTGCAGATCATTGCCTTGAACGATAAGAGCGCCATACAATGTTTATCTGTGTATCTGTATATTGTGCGTGCTCGTTAAGCAGCAGATGAAAATGCGGAACATCAGCGTCCCAGTAAAGAGAACGAGAATGCTGTGCACCAGAGTTCCAAAATACCTACGCATATATGTATGTACATGTATACATACATATCTGTATGTATGTATATGTAAGTGGTAGTACGGGGGCCAGCAGGGTGCGTGCAACACATGGAATGGGAAGAGTCAACAAAGAAGTTAAAAGCAGAACAACAACGAAAGCGCATCAGACACAGATGCAGACACAGCCCTGTGGCCTCGTCGCGACGTTGATGATGTTTTGATGTTGGCTGAGGTAAAAGAGGGGGAGTGCAGAGAGCCATGCTGAAGAGCACACGAAGTGGCGCACAAAAAGGAAGTCACTAAAAATAACAAACAACAGCAACAGAGCAAAAGTATCTTTTGAGTGTAAGGTGGAATGAACTCTCGAAACGGCAGAAGAGATCAGCCAAAGATGCCGCTTAATATAGAAATTAAGCGAAAGAAAGCAACAAAGTAACTATTGATAAGGGAGGGGCTGTAATTGAAGGTGCAAATGTGCTGGAATGCACATGCACTGCAACGACACGACTATAAAACTATTACTAGATTTTCTTTATTGATTAAACGATGTGTTTATCATGAACATTTCGAATAACAAACAACAAATACATTTAAAACTTTATTGAATCATCACAGAAAATGTGAACTGTACAATATTTGTTGTATTTGTATTTGTTACGACGTGGATCATCAGTTACGCTTACCTTCATCCAAAAGACGCTCCACATGCGTAAAGACGTTGGGAAATGCAGCCAACTGCTTGCGATCCTTCAGTAATTGGGCCAAATAATCGGCAATGCTCTGTGTGCTTTGTTGTTGTTGCTGTGGTGTAATGTGCTGCTGTGGCACCACTTGTGGGGGCTGTTGTTGGACAGCGGCAACGGCGGCGGCGGCAGCCGCAGCCGCGGCGGCTTGTTGTTGCAATTGCTGTTGCACAACGGCTTTGTTCTCACAGACACTCATTTTGTTGTTTTTTGATTCTCTATTTCCGTCTATGTGTGTGTTTATATGAGAGGTGTTTTCTATGTTTGTATTTGTGTTTGTTTATGCCTTTACAATTGTTTACTTTTTGCACAATGCGGGTGTATCGTTTAAAACGAGAGATTCTCTTTTTTTTATAATTTTGCGAGCATGTATGTATACTTAACTTTCCACTACTGTTCTTCTATTAACGTTTAACTTTTGATTTTGCTTCTTTATGTATTGCACAATTGCACTTTATGCTTAACACGCGTGATCGTGATCTCTAAAAAACTGGAAAAATAGACATATGTACATATGTAATTCAGAACACTTTACTGTCGCGATAAATTATTTTTATTTTTTAAGTCGATAAAACAATTCTCATTTCCTTTATTTTCATAAAATTTAATGTGCAGCATAACAAAATGAAAGCAACTCCGCCCAAAATGTGTGAGAAGCAACAATAACAACAACATGAATCTAACTGATGTGAGCGAGCGCAGGAGAGAGCCAGTCCAGCCAGCCAAAATATAAAACAGAAAATTCCTCAGCGAGCAGCGTTGATCGTTTTACGAAAATGTAAGAAGAAGCACTGGCGAGCAAACGCAAAAATACAAAAACAGCGCAGCAGCAGCACAAAGCGAAGAGGAGAGGAGAGTGACTTTGTGAACTAAGTGAGCGTGGTGAGCGCAGCTACGGAGATGAATGAAAGCAGAATGTCAAAATAGGTGCTGCTTTCCTGCTCACTCCCCAGCGCTTGCTAGCGGCTGCTGCTGCAGCCTGAAACTTCGTCTTTGTACCAATACAATAAAAAAAGTAAGGGAAATTATTTAATATGCAAATCAGTGTTCTGGACATTTAGAAAACTAAACAAAATTCAAATTCATGGCACAATTGCAATGTTTCCATCACAATGAATGGCAATATCTATGAAATACAAATGTTGAGAATTTTGCACAAATATGCACAGTTGCTGATTATGTATTTGTTGTTGTTGGTGCCAACGCTGTTGCTGGGCTTGGCTGCATTTCGTTATTCATTTTGCACTAATTGCGTTTTGGTTTTAAAGTCACATACATTTTTGAATAAGTTGTACACTAGTTTAATAAACAATTTGAGAATTCCTTTTTATTATGTGTTTATATTACAAGCTATTCGAGTCGGGAAACGCACGATCTCGCTTTACTTCAACGATTCTTCCACCACTGAACCGTACGCAAAGACTGAGAAAATGAAACTGAATGCTAAAGCGCAAAGCGAAAAAAGGTTGAGTGTTGAGGATCATATACAAGCGTTGCCACCTGGCACAGCTAACATACAGTGTTGCGCAGCTGTTTGGCTTAACAGTGAAACTGTGCAAATACCGTGGCTTTCAAAGCAAATAAAGTGTTAAATGAAGTTTTATTTCAAAAATAACATCTAGATTAGGAGTTGGCTTTGACTTATGCAATCTACGATTGTAAATGTTTTTCAATCACCAGTATGCTAAACATCTGGTAGCACTCACTTATCAAACATGAGCCGTTGACAGTAACTATCTTGCTCGCACACACATACTTCGCGCTATCAAGTTGGCGCGTTGGCGGCTATTTGAATTATGGTGATCAAAGTGGAGGCGCATTAATTATACACGGAAATTGTTAAAAGTTGTTGTTAAAAGCATTCTTTTTTGTGCGCATTTATTAGAACCAAAACGACGGGTAGCCCCGCAGATTTGTGTAGCCATATGTATGCATGTGGGCAGGCTTTTTGGCCAAAAATCTATGCAAATTACAAATCTGTTTTGATGGAAATATACGTAACCAAGTGTTAGTGTTAGTTTGCTGTAAGAGCCCATGGGCAAATGTATGTGGGAAAATTGGAATTCGCACGCAGCAGCAGTGGTGGCGTCGATGGCGACGCACCAAAAGCGGCTACAGACAGCCACACAACTTTTACTTTCCATTGCATTGCATTGTCGGCTTGTGGCTTCCGTGTAAATGCTTGTTGGTTGACCAAAATGTTGACACCATGGCCGGCTTACAGCACCCGCATGCACTTAAACAAGACGTGAAAGTTTTCAATCACACACACATGCATAAATATGTATGTATGTATGTACATATTACCGATCAGTGAAAAGCAGGCGCCCACTAGGCTCCAAATTTGTGTGCAAGTTGCTGCCACTTGGCCAGTGCATGTGTGGGCCGTGATTATATGGCGAGCATTAAATATAGGCGCATTATATCGTATTGTCGCTCAAATATGTGTCAGAGCGCGTAAAGACTTTGCCTTTGTTATGTTTTGTGGATTTTTCATTTCTATATGTATGTAGATATAGCCCTTTTGATCTTCACACCTACGACCAAGTGATTGGAATGGCGTGGGCTTCTAAGCTGTTAAGAAGACCTTCGAATCATTGTGTACGATTTCAAATTCGTGCCATCCTACAAAAGTCTTAACAAGCTGCAAAGCTGCACACTAAAATGCCTCAATTGCTGTGCCACATGCTCAAACACCACTTTGTCCAAAACGGCGCCAAATGCGCAAGGCGTGAGTTATTGTGCTCCACTTGTCATCCAAGGCTCGTGGTAAAACCCACACACTCGCACTCATGAAAACGTCAAACTGAAAATTGCATTTAAAATGCATTTCAATTGTTTGAACTCAATTCCAAAGCGAGAGACAACTGGCAACGGTCATATAAGGAAGTGTCCGTGCAGCAGTTTGACAAACTACCATGTCGTGTGGGATCTCTTTTCGTCCATAGCCTTGCACAATGCCCTTTAGTCAAGATGAGCATAGCACACAAAATGAAGCTGCAGCAACTATACAAGAAATTGTATTGTTTATATCGTTAATATATAATATATATATAATATATATATCGTTAATATATAATATATATCCTCTCGTCCACCGTTGTTTTCTTATAGTTCCCGTATTTATCATCACATCTTTTAGAGATCAGCTAACCAGGTCCTATTTATTATATGGGATTAGGTCATCTCATAGGATGATTATATTCCAAAATGTAATCTCTGCAAGCAGTTCTTATTTTCTCACATTTTTCAAAAGATGGATAGCTAAATTCCATTTTTATGTAAAAAAGTTAACTCTAGGGAAAGTAATGATCGCAAATGTATTATCTAAATTTAAATAAGCATACCCATATATGGTATATACAAGTCGGATAGGTGCAAATAAATTTTGTCTTTAACAGTACAGAGCTCCAAAATTGTGTACATTGCTTCCCCCGAATGCAACGTTTTTCAGAATTCAGAGGAATACGAAAAGGTTTTGCGTTGAAAGTTCAGTTTCTTTTTCGTTTCTAACCATTTGCAGCGCCTGTAATATTCACACTCAATGTGCTACATCCTTGGCATCACCATTTCTGTTCGCTGCACGTTTAGTTGCATGCAAATTTGTTGGCCAAACGCCAGCAAGTTGGTGTATGTGCATGAAGTTTATGACTGTGGTTATAGCAACACCAACGCTTTGACTTTAGCCGCCAAATTATGCTTTTGCCAATTTACAATTGACACACAAAGCTAATGTGTAGTATGTGTGTGTTGCGTGTAATTACTAGAATGTTAAAATACAGGCAGTCGGACATTAAAGTGCGGGGCAGTTGTTTCATTACGCATGGCCGCTGATGTTGTGATTGCTGTTACTGTCGTTGCGTAGGCGCTGCAGGTTTATAAGTGCCTCAAACAGGCTTTAACACCCACACACACATACAAGTCCACATAAGCAAATGCATAAAGCTAGTCAGCCCGACAAAAATCCCATAAACGATAGTGCATGCACACTTTTAAGACTTTATTAAGAATTTCTAAATTTTCAGATGGGTTATCACAACAAACAATAGTTTTCGAAATTTGTATTTAATTTGCTTCAATTGAATTTTATCTGAATCGGCGGGCATTTTGTTGGCATTTAAAAAGAAATTGCAGACATAATTGTACTTAAATACATATCATTTTATTAATTTCTAAAAAAATTCAATGAAAATTGATTTCTGCGGTTAGAAATAAAAATCAGAAATCGATCGTTACTTGAGTTAGATAAGTTTTTTAATCATCACAATCAGTTTCGATATAAATTCATTTTAACAAAAGTTGTTACCAACATTTCTAATAAACGGATGTAAAATTAAGATAAGGCATCGATCTACGCAGCCGCTATATTGGACATTTAATGTTTGTCTGCTGTGCACACACTTGCATTTTCTATGTCAAGCAGTCAGTGTCTACCCACGTGTTTAGTTTTCGGTCTGTGTGCTTTTGCTGTTGTTGGATGTTGGATGGAGAGGTGAGGCAGTTGACAGGTGGCCTGTCCACTATCCATTCATAAAACTTCAAAAGCTCGACATTTAACGTCAGTTAGTTTGTTTTAACCGACTCCGAGCGGAAGAGCCCGCATGAATGAATTAAGTTTTAGCATTAGCGTTAACTCATTCACAAAAAAATAAAAATTTTATAAATACATAAATGAGTAACGAGGGAAATCTGTTGGTCAATCACAACACGGTTGATTAGCTTCAAGTTTTATATAATTTTACGCGTGGGTGTGGCGTTATTTTAGGCTTTTTGCACACCCACGCCCACTACCTTACAAATATGTTACCACATTTGATTGTAGCTGTTGCTGGCGGGCTTCATTACATTTTTTAATTTGATTGTAACAGCAAAATCAACAAATTCAACCGTGACTGTGGGTGTCCAAAGTTTAAACAGGTTTTATTAGAAAATTGTCTAGAGCTCTCATTGCTATTTCAATTGGCAAATGCATTAGGTGGGCGCCAATAACTCAGTGAGCATTATTAAATTGATTAAAGGTTGAAAATTCATGCAATGCCAGCTTCAAATACTGACAATAACTGACTGCCACAGTTTTAACAGAACTGCACTAAACAAGTTGAATCAACAGCGTGGGCTCGCAAACTGGCACAATTCAATAAAAAATTCAATCGCCAATACGCTTAATACTTTTTAAACCGTCAGCTGAAAGTCAGTAACAATAAAAATTTGAAACAAACAACCCGCAAATATGGCAAAGACACATCCGTGTAGGTGTTACGCATCACCAACCTAAGATGGGGATGAGTCGTTGGACAAATGGGCTACGTGGATTTGTTGAATACACATTCTCACAAATATACAACTAACTGTATAGTTCATGTTCAATGAATTATGATTACCAAATTCATTGTTAGTCAATTAGTAAGGCTCAAAGAAATGATAAAAATCGCATTTGTGGCGGCATTTAATGAGAACAATTACAGTTTTTGAAATATTAGCATATATTATTATTATAATATTAACTAAAGTAATTTCTATTCAAAAGCACACTCACAATGATTGAACTGAACCATCTCTCCTCATAAGGATGTATTTATGTATATACTTGTATTGATTATTATGAGGAGTTGAGTCTATTGTAATAACATACGTACTTTTTATTATGAGTTTTTATTAATTATTTATTAACTTTTATGACACTCAATCTTAAAACTTGAACTTATACTGATTTCTTACATTTTACTTAAAATGAACTTAGCTAAGGCCTCGTAGCTGCGCTGCCAGAGACGCCGGCAGCGGAGCGGCCGCATTATGTATTTTACTTATGTATTTGTACTCAGCGCTGTTGGCAGCGAGAGCGCGAGGGAGAATGTTATGTGCACTTGAGGTGGCTGACACTAGTTGCACTGACGCTGCACTTATGTCGCCCAATGCATGTGCGATCATATTACATCGCGTCCGAATTATGCTTGGCTTTTTGAATTAATTTATTCACTGCAATAAAGTGTTACAGTGTATGTTCTTAAGAGTGCACTGCGTACAGTGTGTACTCCTTATGTATGCACACTACATCTCCCTCCTTTTGAAAAATAACGTAATATTATGAAGTTATTTTCTAAATTATTTATCTATTAATTTCATGTATATCTAGTTATGAAATATGTTTATATCTTTATGATTCGTTTCTTATTAATCTATTTGTTTTGTTTGTTTAATAATGTTTTTAAAAGGGAAAATTGATATATGTATGTATATACTTATTTGTATGTATATATTTTGTTTTTTTTTTTATCTTATTTTTATTTTATTTTATTTTTTTTTTTTTATATGTATATGTATATATATATATATTTTTTTTCTATTATTATTTTTTTTTCGATGGAATCATAGAAAATTGATGTATATTTTTTTTTGTATTTATTGATATTTATATATATGTATTTATG